TTGGAGCCACCCTGGGTGATATAACGCTGAGTGTCACAGCGTCCCTATACTCGTGTGTCTCATGGCAAGTTATCGTAAACATGACTCTAAGCTTAAGCTTAAACTTGCGACAAGACGCATGTATTGTTCTGATAAACCACTTAACTGCCCAGTGTATCCAAAGAGAAAACGAACCCCAAGGACAGCCATTGTGTCCCATGGCTGTGGTAAGGACATTAGACCTGCGTGTCACAAGCCTTCAATGTGATGGTGCTTTCCCATATCTGTACAGTCGCACCGTAGCTACCTTGCTAGTCACTTGTTCGAACTTCCAGAAATGCCTGAACTAATCAACTAATAGATTTTGAGATTAGAAGACTGTGTGTCCAGAGACAATGTCTTCCTGGCCTATGCATCTCTACCTTCAAGGAGCTTTGCATGAGAGTAGAGTATGCCTACAGGTCAGCCTATATCATATAGATAGACAACTACTAAACCCTAATTTAATACGCTCTGACAGTTATTTAGTGCAACAGGAGTTTCTAATTCAGGACTGGGACCATCAAGAGTCCCAGCAACCAATTTGTGCGATTCTTCGGGCATGGCTCCAGCAGCGGATTATCATAGCCAATAATACAAGTATACAAATGTAAACTGACAGTAATACGGGCTTCTATCATTATTTCGTCAATTCAAATTACTTTTTTCCTTCTTCATGAAGCAATGTTCGGTCAGTAAATGGTTGCACTGGTGGTGAAGTTATTGATATCATACATGAGATGACGCCAAAGAAGCAAGCACAAACGCATATAATGCCTAGAAAGATCCTTGTAGGGTTCCTGATACTTGCCAGTTAAATAAAAGCTACTGGACTTGGCCACACCCCCTTAGATGTCTCCTCGCGTGAACTTGGCTTTCGGGTTACACAACTATCCGCCATCATTGCCAGTTCCCGCGACACTAAGCGGAGGATTTATTTTCTGCCGATCACACCACCTGGGTAGTTTCGAGTCGGGAGAGTGCATGGAACTCATCATGTATCCCGAGGTCTGAGTCTGATGTAGTATCACGCCGGGAGGTTGCAGACGGGAGGGCTCGGTCTGGGCCGCGAGCTGTTTTCAGGATGCACATTGAGTCGAGGCAAAAGTTACAATTCTTTTTTCTTCAAGAGGCACCTCCGGTTGACATACAAGCAGATTGGCACAGTAGAAGGGCACCTTTTGCCGATATTTGAGTGAGCTTCTTCATCTGCATTGTCACGAATAGGGTTGAAGTCTGAGGCCAGTTCGTAGAGTTTCTAATTCGTGAGTCGGCCGATAGACGGTTTATCAGAGCCTCGCACTAACACGTAAAGTCCATCAACATAATAAGTTACTTGATCAAATAGACAGTTACCTGCATTGCCAGCTACTCGTTACAGCACAGCCAGCGTAACCAAGGGTGAATGATTGTCTTCGACGCAAGGGAAGATACACAATCACATCCGCGTGGGGATAACAACAACCTATCAATGATCCAATCGGAATAAAGCGAATCAGGTCATGGGGTGTCGCACTCTTCAATCTTCCTCTTACGACACTGGCGAGAGCATTCATTGAACTTGGCCGACCAGCGATATACAAAACGCTACGACGAAAACTTGTCAAGACCAGGTTGAGGATACACAATACCAGCATGCGGAGTCAATACGAGAATAACAAGATGCAAATTTGTTGAGAGGACACGCATTCTTGTTTAGTATGGTTGAGATGCAAACAGCGTCTCGTACGCGCAATGTTCCGCTGCCCAAATGATCAGCACCTAGAAGGAGTCCCTCGTCCTAGACATCTCGGCGAAAACAAGTCCTGTTGTGAAGATGACACGACCTATCAAGGGACATAAAGTATAGGAAGAAAGAGGGGTGAAAGAGGAACCCAAGTGATCGCCATCACCAGAACAGGCGAGGTACCTCTCAAGTGCAGAAGCTGTTGTGGTCAGCCAGCAAGGATAGCTCCGTGCATAACATCGTCCACTCTCTTGCGGACATTTATCTCTCACGGGCACGGGAGCGTCACTGTCTGATAATGAGGTACAGCTCAGTCTCGGCCAGAGGTAATTCGCCGTCGTGCAATCCCCTCTTTGGCTCAGTTCACATATTGAAGTCTGCATTTGGCCACGAACAACTGTCAAGTCTTTGGCCTGTGCTATGAAACAATCGCATGAATTAAGTTAGAGATGGTTTGGCCAAGTTTGTTTCAAGCTAATTCTTCGCTGCTCGAGCATTGTCTAGACGTCCATGTTTTCGCGTTGATGTCCGGCGCGAACCCTGTCACAGGAGATCCATGTGTGCAAATACATACCGTACCTGTGCGAAGCCGAAGCTTACCTACATCTCTGTACTCGGGCCTTTCAGCCTCGACGCCATGTCAGATCCGTGGCTAGCTGTCTAGAACCACATCACCCCATTTTCGACTGTGATCCCGCTCTGTAGTAGTGGTCGGACCACGCCCTGGCTCATAAGCTTGAGCACAATGTTTCGGTCTAAAAGTCAACGGAGAAAGCCACTCTTGTACACTTCACCTTTCACGAACCATTCATGCTACTCCCGTTCCCATACACACCTCATCGCCTCCCAGATCGGCTGGATTTGCCTCTCCGCGACTCGCCCTTCTTCGCTAGCTCACTGCGCGCCGTTCCAGACTCTAACTTAGTGCAATCTTGCGCGCCTTCACTAGCTACCTACCTGTTCTTTACTTGTGTAGTTGCTCGTACACTCAAACGCCCTGGCATAAATTCCTGTAGCGAGTCTGTCCCGTACATGCTTGGGTGCAGCCAGGTGCTGGAGAGGGTCGAAAAGGGCAATAATGGCTTGAGTTAACCTCTTTTCGCCAGTCGGTGGCGAGAGTTTAGTTTCACACAGTCTTCCCTTGGTGCCAAGCGCTCTGCAGCGCCTTGCGCCTCGACCCTACCAGCATGCTTGACATGTCAACCTCGCCTGACGGTTTCACTCAGGGCATTGTGAGGCTAAATGCTCATCCTGGGGGTGGGCTGCGATAAGCGTTATTTAGTGTTCCCCGGGGCCCGGGGGCGATGAGAGCTATCGGAAAGGAGGGTATTCCCAGATTATCGAAATTTTAAAGATATCATCAAAGATTAAGCAAAAGGTCTTATACAGAAAGCTTGATTGTTATATCCTCCTTCCCACGTTGCAATCATATATGAGCAAGCTCTCCTCTTACAATCCCGAGCCTCATTCCTTAACCGAACCACCCTTTTCAGCACAGAATTTCATTACAAAGACGTTTCCAATAGTATACCACAGCTAACAAAGAATATATTCTGGTACAGAGAGTACACACATAGTTGTGCTAGGGGGTTAGCCTTCGTCTAGATTCCGGGAGCTTACCTGGTGGCCAGAATCACGGTTAACCTTCCACTCACGGACATCAGAGAAGCTTACCACGATCATTCTACAGCCCTATACTTTCTTTCTGAGACATAAGAAAAGTCCAGCCCAAGTTATCGTTGAAACGACGTCCCAAGCACTGAAGGGTATCAGCACACCTCACCAGAGACCTGGTTCTGTCCGGCCCTCGCTCACCCTCAAGCGTTTGGTCCAGCTTCTTGATTAGGAATAATTATTTGAGCACGCCACCCAAACTGGACAACCCCTATCAGAACTAAGGAACTTCGAACTCCAAAAAGCAAAGTCGGCGTCAGAAGATAGGATAGTTCCATTGTGAAGACCGGAGATGGGTTGTACTTCTACTCCCATTGTTGTATGCGGAGGACGGGTATGGCAACATAGAAGTGAAGAGAATACAAAAAAAAATATGGATCTTTCATATCGTGCAAGCCATGATGATAAATTTGCTCTAAAATGTTAGGCTGGGACGGTGGTCTCGATCACTCCCCTTCATCGCCATAGATCTCCCCAGAGGTAATTTCTGCAAGGAAGCTTCAGACGACGAACTTGATGGGAGTTCCAGTTGGATTTGGAATCCTCAAGATCAGCGTGTCATTGCATCTAGACCCATCTAGCGCTCTAATGACTCCTTTTATTCACTGCTGTGTCGTCTATGCTTAGGCCTGGACAAGAGTCCGCCTGCTCAACCGTTTCCTTCACGTCAGGAGCTCCCGAACTTGGATTCCAGTACTGCTAGTTTTCAGGCATAATGGCAGTTTACTGTGGCTGGCTGATCAAGCATTCATGCCGAGTGGTCCTCTAGTGTTTGTACAGGCCATTCCTACTCCGGAACCCATATTCGATAGCTTCGATAACTGAAACCAGATAAAGACCGCCAGCCAATCGCTGAAAGAGCTCATATTGATAGTCTCGTACACTGGCAAATCAAGAAGTCCCTTGTTTGTTCGCACGGAAGACTGATCCATCACTCCCTACTTGCCAGGTTACCCACCATCATGGTGCTTTGCCTTTTTGCAGTCATTTGAAGACACCATAGTTCGCAGCAAATGTCTCGGTGAAACTCTTCGTGATGTACGTGTTAAGTCAGAAACAATTGCACTACGCACCGTCGCATCCCATCAAGAGACCGCCCTGTTAAGGGCAAAACGCCATTTGGCCAATAAAATATACACATGCGTTGCACAACCTATACATGTTTCCATCCTCTTGAAAGCCCAATTCCGTAATCCTGGTAAAAGTCCCGTCCCAAGCCCGCCTTGTTAATGCCATAATTTGTCGTATAAACACATCAATGAAGACCCGTTGATGGATTCCGCCTTCACCTGAGCTCCATTCCGTATGCCTTGACGCCGATATTCCAATCTTTCCGGATCCTGTAGCGCCTATTTTCCCGTGACAAACCTGGCAGACATTATATAATAAGTACTATATGGGAATTTGTTCCAATGCCAGAATGGATGGTAGAGTCATGTGCCTCGAAATAGGCATCCATGATAGCCGCCTGTCCTTATGATAGCCTGACTGTTATTTTCTTGAAACCAGGTGGTGAAGTTGTCGTCGTCCCGAAACCTAGGTATCGCGCATTAAAACAACAACTCCTTGAGATACCGATGTATTATTCCCTCTTGACGTCAGGGCTGTCGTTCTCCTCTCCACTGCGATCTGCTCCGTTACCATCACCAGTATTCTCGTTGCTCTTGTTTTCGCAACCCTTGACAAGCCGATGTCGCTATAGCAGAGTTAGCAAGTGCCACGGATGTCACAATGGAGCCAGCGCTTTTATTGACAGCACAGCCAAATGACTTACCTTCAAAGCATCCTTTCTGGAAAAGCTTTTACTGCAAAAATTACAGGGAAAAGGCTTGACTGCCAGATGAATCCGCTTATGTCTCTTGAGATCGTGGTTTCGACTGAACGACTGAACGCATTGATCACACTTAAAAGGCCGCTCTGACTGTGTTGGTTGGGGTTGGCCTTGCCCTTGGTATAGCATATGCCCATATGGACCCACGGACATCCCTGGGATCATTGACATCTGGCTTCCAGGTTGATGAATGTTGGATAGGACTGATCCTCCCATGGTAGGGAGGGGCTGATAAGAGGTGTATGATCGATAGGGAGCAGGGGGTGCCATGCCAACACCATGCGGGCCCGACATCGATCCAAGGCCCCTAGGCACAGGGCCGCCATTAGAAGAGGTATGCTGGGTTGGTGAAGGCTGGTGACCATATGGTGGATAGCTAGGCGGCTGAGTTGCAGAGGATGTATAGTAGTTCGGTGTGCTGGGGGGCCTCGAGTGCGTATATGAATCGACATGTGCCGATACGCTCGAAGGAGTAGGAGGTTGCGTCGCTATCGAGCTTTGCGAAGTCAAAATTCCACCCTGAGCGTGTTGAGATGTCGTGAGGCCTGGTGGAGTGGTCTGGCCACCTCCGCCCGAGATCGAAGTCTGGAAAGGTTGATTCACTTGGTCGTAAGGGGGTGCTGGGAGTCCGTCACCTCCAGTAGCCGGCGACTGAGAACTTCGAGGGTGATTATATTGATGCATTCCGGGACCTTGGTTGTAAATCGGGTGGGTTCGTCCACCGAAGTGCTGTTGGCCAAGGGTTGGCTGAGCCTGGGTCGCAGAGCTGACAGTGTAGGAAGAATTGTTTGGTGCAGTCCATGCCGTGGAAACATATGAATACATGTTGCCTGGTGCTTGAGAACCCTGTGAACTCCCGGTATTGACGCTAGAAAGACTGGGGCTCAGGCCATCACTGGCTCCTGGCGAAGGGGTCAGAATACTGGGCGAAGACGAGATGCGGCGATCTGGAAAGGGACCAGTAGCGGGAGAGTAAGAGGGCGGATATGCAAATCCAACCGACTCGCCCTCCCGGGAGCACTGAAAGGACTCTGACGAGTTACCTGGGTAAGAAGAGTAGAAAGGGTATTTAGCCATACTTGGAACATCTGTTGTCGGTGGTGGCAGAGTCATGGCAGGCAGGGCGCCTGCCGCGGGACGCCGTGAAGAGAAACTAGCTCCCTCCATTGACACAACTTAGATTGTTTGCAAGAGTTTGACGCTTTAGACGTTGCCAGAGGTAAAAGAATTCCACGGAGGAGCACAAAGGCTTATATAGTTGCGGGCCACGAGAAGCAGACGTAAGTGAGCAATTGAGTTGCTTGCCTTATCTTGACACGTTGACGAGTAAAGTTGTCAAATTGAAGATGGGCCGAATAGTTCCCAAAAAGTTAAATCTTTGTCAGAGGGGAACTTGAGCAGCCGAGGCCGAGTTCGTGTTGACAGAATGACTCTTGGAAAGATATCTTGACACAGCAAAGAGGGGTCGTATTCCGCCACCGGTGTGGTGTATCACTGATGTTGCGAGGGAGTGGTTGAGTTTTTCGTGCGTATGGTGTAGAAATGTGGTGTATAGTATAACTCGGTGGAATACAAAGGTATTGATTGCCCGGATGAGGTTATCTTGATCTCATAGACGAACTTTAACGACAATAACAAACCGCAAAGGACAGTGGTAGGCAGTGTAAGGGCCGAAGATGATGATGAGTAGAAGCACACTTGGAAAGCTTGAATCTAAAAAAGAAAGAAGGAGGGGAAAGAGCAAGCTGAAAAATGGAGGAGGATCAAGGTAGATGAATACCTCTGGGAGAGCTGAAAGTACAGTACAGCAGTCACGATGTTGTCGAGATTCGGATCGGGATGATGGGGTTGACTGGGGTTTTTGGGGTGTCGTCAATGAAAAGTCCACAGACTTTCAATAAGGTTTCTTTACCCAGGGTGGCGCTTTGGCGTTCTCTGGTGTAATATGTATAGGTATCTGGCCAGGGCTCCTGCCTCGATGCAAGAAGGAAGCATTTACTAACACCACGGGGGTGCGAGAGCTGAGCAGGGGAACGAGATGAAAGTGAACGAGCGCAGGGGCCAGCTCTGGGCCAGGACCAACAAAAACGAGCCTAGCCTTAGCTAAAACAGAGTGAGACTAGCGAGACTAGAGCGCTAGCAGGGGCCCTCAATTGCCCAGGCCGTAGCTTCTCGCCTTGGCATTCTTCTCGGTCTAGTATGAATGTTCATCCCTGCTAGGTCCTCACTGAGACGGGATCTCTGAGGACAGACAACTGGCACTAAAACCGACTAGCGCGGGAGGGCTGAAAGAATCATGGGCCCAGGTGTTGTTGGTCCAAGACCGACCTGAGGGAAGCTGAAGTACCTACGTACAGTACCTCCTGTACCTACATACTGCCAAGTACCTGCTCAAGTACTGGAGGACATCATCGTATCTATCCATCCATCTGCAGGCAGATGAGGGGAACATACATATAGAGTTAAAGTTCGTAAACAGACGAAAGCATGCATTCAACCCAAATGCAAGGTTGGTTGTGATAGCAACGAGAGGAGGGCTTTATCATGGCCGCCGTACAAGCATTACGCTCATCTATTAGTGGTTTCCATCACATCTCTAGACGAGGATGCATGCCCGCCCACCACCTTGGGCATTGGCAGCTGGATGGATGGATGGATGAGTGGACTGCCTGCTGGTACCACCACCCACCACCACCAGTAGGCCGGAGCTGGAGCCGGAACGAAGAACAGGGGTGAGACCTGGAATGGCATGGGTGGAAACTCTACAGGTGTGGGTACAACCAAGGACGAGACATTCATTGAAGGCACAAACATCACCTTGGGAAGCAATTGTGCGAGTTATGCTCAACTGGGGGAGACAAGAGGCAACGAGACGAGCGTGGGATAAGGTAGCTCCCCTCAAGGCTCAACCATTGTCAAGTAGGTAGGTATGTACTCAAGTACCTGCGTAAGGTAAGCTGCAAATGCAAATGCTCTCCGTCCAACCTGAAGATGGAGTGAGAAAGAGGAGAGTCGGAAACCATGCACTACGAAAATCCTGCAGTGCACTACACGGCAAAGCACATCTCCAGCGGTTCAGCTCATTGATAGACCATATTTCGCGATTTGCTGTAGTCGCGAGTAATCGAGATTGAGCTTCATCGAAGCAAGTTGGTTCGCAAGCGCAGAAGTCTGTTGTCTGCATCAAGCCTCATCAATGACAGGACAAATGGCAAAAACCACAGATCGAGCTCTTCTTGACATGCGGTCTAGTCAGAAGTTTGGCTCTATTGATCATCGTCTACTGTGTGTTCTGGCACACGGGATCTCCATCCCCGTCCCTACTTTTTACTGCGTGGCTTGGGCCAGATCGGGTACCAGGGGGTGGGAAAGCAGCTGATGCTTGCTTCGAACGGATGGGATGGCACGCAAATCCCTCCCGTAAAATACCTACCTATGATGATGGAGCACAACTTGCACTTTGATGTTTGTCTTCTTGTCAAGCTACTCTTGGGTTTACTCCCATCAACAGCTCGCTGTTCAGTCTCCTTGTAGCTCTTGGTCTCCTGTGTCGTAATTTGTTGGGACACTCCATCACACTACCACCTCATTCTCTTTTCTGCGAATGCCAACCTCATCTTACAAGCCCGGGGATGGCTAGACTGCCAAACTCCTGATCTTTCGACCAACAGCCTATGTTTCTCAAACGAACAACAATGATTTTCTAAAAGGACCAGGCTGATGGCCGCTTTTGGCTTCTGCCTTAGCTTGCCATGGCTGTCTTTTGGAGAAGCCATCTGCAACCCTGGCAGCTTGGTATCCCGGCTGTGGCAGTGGCGGGATCCGACCAGCTGGACTCTGTTTCTCATGCAACCCCTGAAGGCGTCGAACGCACAACGGGGACGGCGTCCGGAAGGCGTCCCTGGTGGTCCAAAAGTGAAGGGCAGATGCTGCTTGACATTGATGATGATGGTTGTCGTAATGGGGGTGTTTTAAGGTGCTGTGATCCTGGTAGTTCCCAGGCAAGAACGTTTATTTAGAGAGTCACGTAGGAGAGAAGTGTGTCTACTAAGAGTGTGAGTGGACGCATACAACGTGGCAGGTGAACACTTTCCAACCGCCCTCACAATCAGTCAGTCGACTTCTGCAGGCCCTTCACCAGGCGTCCAGGTACACACGGACCTTGAAAATCTCAGCCCAGGCATACCAAGAAGAAAAATGGCTGTCATGGTCTTGTGGTCTAAGTTGGACCCTGAAGTTTTCTTTTTCGGTCACAGCGAAGCTGAAGCTCGCCTGTCTTGCAGTTCGGCGACTACCAGCAGATGGGTCCGCGTTAGACACCAAATCAACAAGTTCACGGAGACGAGCCGGCATGGGAATGGTCATTTGCGAGTCGAGACTCCAATTGCCAGAGCCTAGAACTAAACCTCTATGTTTAGGGCGCGGTGGTTGCAACACCAGCGCCCAATAGTCACGGAATGCAGAATTCGTCTCATCCATGGGGGTCTGGATTTTCGGGTCCTCTTTCAACTGGGATGGACTTTCACATACTCCGTACTCCTTGCTTTACCTTATCCTCTAAAAAAGAATGGTTCTCATAAGAGATCGAGAAGACCTGCCTGGCCAGGATTAAGCCTGGCGATTGGCGTCTGGAAGCAACCGGCTTTTAGCGTCATATCGAAGAACGTGTTGTCCAGCAATTTCCAGTCTTGGAACACCAATATTAACTCAGAAACCAGTTCATCTTTCAAGGGATGATTGCAATCTTCTCTTGTCTTCAAGAGAATTGGGCATACATTAGTGAAAAAGCCTCAGCAGCCATGTCCCATATCTCCCCTGCCAAGAGTTCATGTGTTGGCCGCGCTCTGGCCTGAGAGACCCTGCTTCAACGGGATGGCTGATCTGAAATACATTCGTCGTCATGATACATACATGAGAGACATTGAGACGTTGTAGAGGGAAGCATTCACATACTCCAAATTATCAGACTCCATTAAGGCTCCTAGATCAGGACCTATGTTCCAGGCCAATTATTCCATGGGCGACAGTGCTTTCCCATTACCCTTGACTTCATTGTTTTGCATTTTGTATAATATTGTTATTAATACATATCTTTGGCAATGACAATACCAATCACCAATATCTCTGTACCGCTGAGCGCCTTGTCTCCGTGCACATTCGGAACCCCAGGGTCCCCTGCTGCACTCCCGCATCTACGGTTCAAGATGCAGTGCAGATCAATATTGACCTTTTTTTTTTTTGAAGAATGTGGATCCTGTGAGAGTGATCCGCGAGCCTCAATGAGGATGCCCAAGTTGTGATAACGGGGCTTGCATTGATTGTTTTCAATAGTCTTTTATACGGCCAGCAGTACATATATCTCTCGGTGGTGAGATGCATGGTACAGCGATAATTCTATCCAATAAACCTTTGGTTGTAATACCTGACGCTTTTTATGTACTACGTACTGTAGGATTGCTCCGATACCCCTGTCAATTATTCTGCACTGTGACCAATTAATAACGTCCTTGAGTCCTTGACTGTCTGTGCCTTCTACGGACCATAGACCCCTTGAGCATTCCCCAGGTTTAATTGTTTGATACTGTAGTATCAAGAATTAATGGGACTTTGGCAATAGTCTGTTGTAGGTAAGCAGAAGAGTAAGCGGCGATCTTTGGGATGACGATGAAATGGGTCTGTTGGATCTCTTTTCCTCTTTTTTTCCTTTTATTAGGTAGCAAGGCCTCCTTCATCTGTTGATTTCAGCTGGAAGGAAGCCGTTCTGTTTTCCTTTTTCTCTCCAAGAGCTAACGTTCTTTAGATGCACTAACCATTAAAAAAGGTTGAGTTTCTCCCACCGGATCGAAACCCCATGTCCCCTGTCCCGAGTCTTCCTAGACCCCTGCTCACTGATGCACACCCCTTCCCCTGACACTCTTACAAGGGCCCCCTCGTCAAACTACCGGGGAGAATGCTTAGCTCTCGCGACCATCGTGGATCCTGGCTGCAACACCTTGTCCCCTCACTCAACTCTGCCTTCCGCCGCCATCAACGGATAGGCTCAGCCATGCTAACCAAGCTCCTGGGAACGCAACAAGAAAAGAGGCGCTCAACTCCCGCCGGCGAACGACGCA